ATAGTATATATTTTAAAAGATATAATAAATAGCTCTAAATATCACTTTTTTGTACATGTAAAATTTTGGCACATGACCCTGCCCGTCAGCGTGTATAAATTAAATTTCTATCATACTTACAATGACTATGTCTTTACCGCCCAATTCTGTTGGTACGATATGTTCCAACGCTTCTTTTAGTCTGATATTTTCTTTGGTAACTGCGTCAAAATCCTTTCTTGAAATCCCAGGATTGATTACATCGATATCGAAACTAGTTTGAGACCCTATTCCAAGCTTATTGTTCAAATACGCGATTCTCGCTTCCGCTCGTCTTAGGGCATATTTTCATAATTGTCCGCCTTTCTCTCCGAACCCTGCCGTTTTTCTTCCAATTCACTGCATATTCTTGTTAAGTCCTCTACCCCTCTTAGCCGCTCATTTTTGACCAGAATGTCTTGGTGTTGAAGAGCGATAATACGTTTTAGAGCGTTCGCCTGAAGTTCTGTTAAGTTTAATACTGATCCTTTGCTGTGTACCCCAGACATAACGTGATGAACTGTTCAGCCACTTTGTTAAACTAAAGAATTGTAGTTTCTCAACCCAATTTTATACTTTTAGGCCGGTTTAATTCGCTTTTTAGCTTATATCTATGCTTTTCAGCTCTTACAGGTCCTTACACTCAAGACGTCTGCTGATGAGTAACACAACGCAGTTGCAAAACCGGTACTTATATGAGTGACGATCACGTAATTGTAAATTCATTTGATAATTCGTTGTTACTCTCTTCACAAGAATAACTAGTCTTGAATAACCAATCATATGTGCTACACCAGGGATTTCCCTAAACACAATTTTGGATGATGTAATTCCGGTATCCGATAATTACCGTAACAGAACAGCGCTAGCTATTTATTGCAAGTGTGTGCTGCCGCATTTCAACTAACCTGAGTATCAGGGCGCCCTTATGTTTTCATTCGCCAGGATTAAATGGCGGCGGCGAATGAAGGAGGGCCTGATACAATTCTTTACCACGGCGCATGTAAAAAGCCAGATTCTGGCTTTTTCGTCTGATTGGCCGATTAGACAAACGATTTTTTAAATCTGTCATTTGATTGGCTGGTGCTAATTAGATTATACTATTGTCAGTTGTTGATATATTTTATAACGAACTACAATTATATCCAGCCCACTAAACGGCTGAATTTAAATTAAAACTGCAGTAAAATTAGAAAATAATCGCAAATTAGCGAAATATATTGCAAATGCAACTTACATTAAATCGCCATCAGATTGCACTATCGACTAACTGACGTATAGTTATAAAGTATACTTAATATATATATATATATATATATATATATAATATATATATATATATATATATATATATATATATATATATATATATATATATATATATATATATATATATATATATATATATATTGTACTATTACGCTCCTTCACTTCGGTGTTGTTGAGCACTCTGCGGAGTTGTTAATGGATGTCTATTAGCGATAATGCAAAGCTCACTTCCCTTGTGGCCGTTTGAGCACTCTGGCTCCATTACGCTCTGCGCATGTCTGGATGCGTTGTGTCACCGTGTTGTACCACATGCCTTGGTGAGAGCAAGTTCATGGGGTATAAATACGAGTGTCTCACGTATCTAGACGTGTACCAAGCTGCACTGACGAGGCGTTGAACGCCGAAACATGCATGTCTGCAGATTGTACTATATATATATATATATATATATATATATATATATATATATATATATATATATATATATATATATATATATATATATATATATATATATATATATATATTATAAACAATTCCGAGAAAATGAAACGAGTATTAGACAGAACAAAACTCATTGTAAGCAAACGCCAACCGAAGAACTTGAAGCGATACTTGACAAAAGCACAATTCAATTCAGAGGACAGAGAACACTGTGTAACAAAATGCGAGGAAAAACGATGTGGAACATGCGATGTTTTAATCACAGGAAAGTCTGTTACATTAAAGAGCGGAAAAACCTGGAAAGTCAATTCAACGATGAACTGCAAAGCGAAATATGTCATTTACGTGATCATTTGCTCAAAATGCGACAGCTTCTACGTCGGCCAGACAGAAAACTTACGAAAAAGAGTGACATTGCACAAGGAACAAATTCGACACGAAGAGTATAGACATCTAAAAGTAAGCGAACACTTAAATATGTGTAACAACAGAATTTTCAAAATAATGCCTATATATCAATGCATTAACACGGACAGACTTTTTAGGGAGATGAAAGAAAAAGAACTTATCAATATACTGAATCCGGATCTGAACGCTAATTAAAAAACCATTAAGTTTATGCTCACATTTAGATCAATAGAATGTTTTTAACGGGTGACTTCACACCATGTAAATATATGCATTCCTAACATAGTTATTATAATATGATATCATAGAACGTAGATAATAGATAAACTAAATTCCACTCATTGTAATTATGCACCTGAGGAGCTAACATTAAAGCGAAAACGTTTGTGCAAAATTTGAGTGGCTTTTATTTTATTTTACGTTATAAATGTCTCTTTTGGTTGCACATTGAAACCTTTTCTATATACGACACTTGTATCTTGTTATCAGCAACATTTCACTATATATATATATATATATATATATATATATATATATATATATATATATATATATATATATATATATATATATATATATATATATATATATATATATATATATATATATATGTATATATATATATATATGTATATATACTTTATAATTATATGTCAGTTTGTTGATAAATGCAGTAAGCGCCATGTAAAGCTCTTTAATTGTAGTCACTGAAACCTCTGCGGAGGAGAGAGCAATTGGGTGGCGATTTAATATAAGCTACATTTCCAATATATTTCGCTAATTTGTGATTATAGATTAAAGTACTTGTCTAATTAATGAGCCTGCATGAGTTGAAATGAGCAGGCACCAGGTTGCCAATTCCGACCAAATTTTTTATCCGACAACCAGATGCTGTATTTGCCAAAGTATAGCCGTTCAAGCCCTCGTGGCGACTGAGGAAAAAATAATCCCTAAATTAATCTAAATTCCTAACATTTTAGTTAGAACATTCTGTCCGCGATTCTGTCCGCCGAACATTCTGTCCGAACATTCTGTCCAAACATTCTGTCCAAACATTCTGTCCGAACATACGTTGAAAATTAAGGGATTAAGTTGTCAAAGTCTTACTGCTATTATCAATGCCGCAAGCAAGTTAATTCTGGCTTGGAAATAAATATATATGAATGACACAAATTATTTAATATCTTCACAACATTTACCGTTCAGAATTAATACAATGTGCTGATATTAATGTGTGTCATTCAGACTTATGTCCAAGCCAAATTGAACTGAAGGTCATCGGACATCATACTGACATATGTCCGACCCAAACTCAAAGTCATCACACATCGGACATTTTGTCAGACGGCCCTGTAAAAGATATTTTAAGGCCTGAAAACAATATTTATGTAGTTACCACTAAGGTATTCTTCCCTATGTCCCTCATATAAAGATACAATGTATAACTATTTATGACTGTACATGTTTTATGACCTGTTACCAAGCATTGACAAAGCACAGCATGTTTCCATATATAGCGCAGACATAATTTGCCGACATATATTAATTAAACAATTGTACGTTTTTTGTAATATTAGTTTATTTCTTGGAATTAACAACGACCACAAATGCCTAAAAAACATTTTATTGTTACAACGTTTCGGAGTGTTACTCCATCTTCAGGTATTAATAAAAATTGCCGTTTTAATCGTTCTTGCGCGTCGAATGACAGGCAACAACACCATCAACACTTACACTTCTATATGTTCCAACAACGCCTTACTAATTCAAGAAGCTGAGCAATCTAGTTCAAGAGCTCTGAACGGTTACAAACAGCACGACGTCAACCGAGTCAGATCCAAACCTAAGAAAAACCCCTACCTATACGCTTTCCATTCCCCACATCTCAAGTGCATTGACCAACGACATAAAGAAAGCGGTAAAGCGAAGCAACTTGAACATTCGTCTAATTCAGCGTCGGAGCGTCCCCATGAGAGTTCACTGAAGAATCTCTTCTCGAATCTTGACCTTACTACGACAAATCATGCAAGGATACAGAGAAGTGCAACATCTGTCAAAACTCGCCATCAACACCTTCAACCCACTCACTGTGCAGAAAGATGTGGTCTACTCCTTCAAATGTGACCTCTGCCAAGACGACGACGATGGTTTGTACATTGGTGAGACAAGTCGCCCATTAGCTGT